GAGGACACTTGCCTATGGTAGAGTAGTGGATGAGTAAGTCTGGAGGAATTAAATGTTCGCCAGTGTAATGGTGGAAATACGACTCTGTGTGTGTAAACTATGATCCATAACTGCCCACAGTGACCAAATGGCCTGGCCGCCATGACACTGGACTGCTGCTGAGATGGTGTGTGTGTGTGTGTGTGTGTGTTTCAGTGTGTATCAGGAAAGCTTATACATTGAACAGTTTAATAGTAGGGTTAGATGCTGATTTTATACTAAGGAGAAGATGAAACCTCCAGGGAATAAAGAGAAGTTGGTACATGGCTGTTGATATGGTAATAATACCTATGTAGCATGCATATGTATTTATTTATTTGTGTGTTTGTGTTTGTGGGTCAGCACAGTGGGTTGTGAATCCATGATGGGAAACTCATCTCCATCTGGAACCAACCATGTGTGTGTGTGTGTGTGTGTGTGTGCAGCAGCTCTGTAGGTTCTGTCAGTTCAGATCAGAGTCATCTTTATTGAGGTGGATGGAAAAACCGTCTCTCTCTCCCTCATTTGATCTCATTCTGTGATTTCCTCCTCCTTCATGGGAATGACACGTGATGTGTGTTTGTGTCGCCAAAACCTCCAGAGAAAGAAAAAAGCCATGATGCAGTGATAGCTGCAGACAGAATTATCTGAGAGTCAGCAGCTCTTTTTTAAGCCTCTTTCAATCTCATGGTTTTGGTGGTTAAATGGCATCTTTCAGCTGTTTTCATCATACAGGGTTTGTTGGTGGAGAGCAAATCAGAGCTAAAAGGAGAGTGATTGTGGAACTCTGTTTGTTGAGTGGACACAAAGGGAACTGCATGAGATGGAAATGTTGCTCTGCTGCATGAGTGTCAGATTATTCCACTCGTAATTAAGTCCAATATTTGCTATGTTTTTTTTATTTTACCTTTTGTCTGTCTAACCAAATGTAACTCGAGACCTTGTTGATTTGTTTATGCAGTGATACTTCCTGTATCTAGTTTCCAACAGTGTCCTCCAAAAATATGTTAACAGTTGATTGAATGTCATGTTACCACACTTGAATATATATGCATCACTTTTGGATATTCATATATAATATACATATTTCAAAGATAACCACATTGTATCAGTGTGAAAAACAAGTCACAGTCAGTCTCTTCTCAGTTTTACTTCACTAAACTTACTTTTGAAAGCCACCATTATAAACTTTGTTAGAGTTTGTTTTTCAGGTCTAGTTTATAAACTGTCTGTCCTAGGAAGAGGATTCCTCTTCTGGTTCTTGTACATGTCTTTTCCTCATTCAAGGGGCAGTTTTTCTAAATCTAAATCTGGTTGAAGGACAGAGTATCTACAAATGTTAAAGGCCCCTGAGTCAAATTTGTGATTTGCGTTACTGGAGTTTGTTTTTTAATCGATTTGACTAGAAACTTTCTATTATAGCTAATTTCTCTTCATGCAGCTTTAAAATTCTGTAAATCATAAAAAAAAAAGAAAAACTTAATTTGGTGAATAAGAACACATCTCTGAATTGTCTGTTGCCATTTGATATCACATCATCTTTACATTATAAGTATTAGAAGTGAATTGCACTGCATATGTATCACTAGAAGAGAGTAGAAAACAACATGCAGATTTGCTCTGACTGATGCCAATGGAGGCAAAATGTTTTAACCTGGATAAATAACTTTTAAGCCTGCAAAACATTTTCATGAACAGAAACATATGGACACAATACGGTGATAAGATTTAGGGGAAAATAACAGCGATGACTGAGTTGTGAGCAAAATTACAGACAAAGCTTTACTGACCAACACATTTGCATTCAGCATCAACTCAAACACTTCTGCAGCTACAGCAAAATCAACCTGCAGGTGTGATTATCATGTGAAGACATTAAGATGTCTTTCGATTCCTCATCAGAAGAGTGCAAGTCAGCAGAAATTTTTTTTTAAAATATGTGCAATATTAGTTGAACTCAATGAGCAGAGAAGGAATCAGTGTGGAACAACAACAGACAGACCATCACCACACACACTGTGACCCCGACATATGGAGGCTGGCCTCAGCGCAGGAAGAAGGGTGGGTGGTTTGGGGCTATTTGGTGTTTGATAACAGCAGGGGGGTATTTCATAGAGAGGGGGGGTTAATCAGCTATCATCATTTATAACTACTGTCTGATAAATCTGTCCTCTATGAGCTGTTTACTCTGTATTTTTTACTGTCGCAGGTGCTTCGTTGGTTGTTTGTTTTTGCTGACGACATTTTTCATTATTGTCAGTTTGTGTTGGCAGAGCAGCATGATGACTCTTTTAGTCAGGATTTCATGTTGCCTCCTATCTTAAGAGTAAATTTGCAAGTGAACACAGTTGTGTAGCTTTTATTTCTATGTAAAGGTGCTATGTGGTATGTTATTTGGCCATTATGTGTTTGTTGTAGACTGCAAATGTCAATACATTTCCTTAACCACTTATTGAATTTGTTAGCAATGAACGATTGCTGAATTTTTACGAAATAACACAACACAACACAACACAACACGCAAATTTTTGCATAGCAGCATTTTAAACTACTGATGTGGCTTCTTATTGCAGTAAAATCCTAAGAAAGTTGATGTTTTAACAATAAATGAAATCAGCATTAAATTGTAATAACAAAATAATGTCTTTTCTTTAAATTATAGCACTCAGAGTCCCCTTTGCTATGGTATAAATAGCTGTTACCAAGTAAACATAAAGTAGGTCATGCTTTTTGCGGTTTTGGGTTTCAACCTCAAAAACCATCTTTTTGAGGTTGAAGTAAAGCATTTTGGTCTGTAGCAGAGCTGTAAAAAATAATTGAGACTTAAATCTGTCTGGATAAATACAATTTTTTTAAAAAACCTAAGGCGATTTAAATATTTTTGATGATTAAAGTGCAGTTAGCTTTTTTTGTGCAGATGTTTATCCACCTGCTGTGACATGTGTCTGTTCCTGAAGCTCGTGTGAGCCTCAAAATAAAAGCCATTTTTCATGTCAAATACTCAAACAATGTAACTGTCACATGTAACGTCATTTTCTGATTACCTTTTGATAAAAGGATTGTCAAGTCTGTCTTACAGAGTCTCTATGAATCACTAGACTGTGAAAGTAGATGTTTAAAATTATTTTTAAACATTTTGAGATGATGCCTAGGCCTTTGAGAAATCATATCCACCCCTGTGGATTTAACATTGTTGTTTTATCTTTTGATTTGTTCTTATTAAGTATTTCAAGCAAACTGTACTTAAAAGCTCCTAAAACTGGTCCGTTTCTTGTAATACATGAGTTAGTGTTTTGATCATTTTTATGATTGCATTTTTAAATGTGATTGTTATGTGGAGATGCATATCAATATTGGAAAAATCCACATCAATGTCTGCTCTGCTGTGGATAGGGGTGTTCATATTTTGTTGTAGAGGCCTTAAAAAGTATTAAATTAGATTTCCAAAATCCTGATCTTTCTTCATCAGTTAGGTATGAACACTTAACAGGTTTTCCATACTGTGGTTGTCCTTATTTTGTGCAAGAAGATATCCAGAAGTGTATGTGAAGTTACTTGGAAGCTTTGTCAGTCAGAGTTAGATAAATGCATTTTGTCCCCATTAGGTCTCCAATAGAGCTGCAACTTACGATTGTGTCCATTGTCGATTAATCTGGTGAATATTTTACTACTTAATCGATCAATTATGAAATGTCAGAGAACGGAAAAATGGACCAGTGTTTCCCAAAGTCCAAGATGAGAAATGTCTTGTTTTGTCTAAAGCCCTAAAGATACTGAGTCCAAAGATATTCAGTTTATGAACATACTTAAACTCATAAATCATTTATCAAAGTAGTTGGCCGCTAATAGAATAATCTATCAGTCATTGCAGCTCTGTTCGGGATCTTTAATGGTCAGTATGAACATGGAGAAGGATTCCAGCTAGAAAAAGCCAAAGTGGCTTCCTTAATATGTCTTGACAGATGTACATCCAACAATATTCAAACAACAAAAAGTGGCCAATTATGACATTTAAGAGGCTGGAGACAGGTAATATTTGAATGAATGCATTTTTTCCTTGAGACAAATGAATCTATGGTTATTGAATAAGCTCTGGGCTGTGTAGGAAAGTGTCACAAATATCTAATCACTCTGGTTTTAGGCAATATGTGTAAACAAATGAGTGATAATTGACCTTGTGTTAGCTTCGGGACAACTGGTACACTCAGCTACGAAGTATCAGCTTAGTGAGAACAAAAATAATATGGATAAAGTGTGCGTGTGTATGTTACGTAACTGTGAGTGGATGGTCTGAGCTCTGCTGACATTATCCTCAGAGGATTGGATAATTAATCTGATGCAGACCAATCACGTTTCAGAACTAACCCAGATTGATTGACAGGTGCTGCTGCTGTCCCTCTCCTGATCAATGGATTAGTGATTGGTGAACACAATGAACGATGTTACGTAACCAACAGTAGTATGCTACATTGATATTCTAGGGAAGGGTGGGCAAAATAATGTGAACATATTTTATAAAGTCATTTAAAAAATTCAAAACTAATTACAGTGTTTATTATTATTAGTTAAGATTAAGAGTGGAAATATTGTACTGCCATTGAACTTCTTGTAGTCTTTGTCTTCTGACCATATTAACCTTGTTGAAGAAACAGTCCAATATTTTGGAACATACTCATGTCGTCTCCATCTACGCGAACTTCTTCAAAGTTAGCTTGATGCAAAGGAATTATATAAAGGAGCTGTTGGACATTTTGTGGTCTTCCTTAGAATTAGATGAGAAGATGCTCATGAGTTTCATCTCTGTGCTTCCGGTACAAACATCACTTAGGAGGTGTTTAGCCTAGCTTAGCATAAAGGCTGAAAGCAGGGGAAACCATCAGTGTAACACCATCAAAGGAGGAATAAAAACACCTTTAAACATACTTGCATCTTGAGTGTTTAGTTCAGGTGTCATGTGTTAACTCTGCCTCTCTTGTTTACAGGTGATGTGTCCATGCTGCAGCCAGGTGTGGTTCTGCTGCAGGACGTGTTTGCGGTGAAGGTGAAGCGTCGGCGAGCGGCGAGCCAGCAGTCGGGCGGACCGGTGCTCGGCGTGGCGGTCTTCTATGGCAGGAGGAAAGGGAGGAGGCTGGAGGAGGACACGCTGCACCTCCACAACGCCTCCGCAGAGCACACAAACACCTGGTACAACACCCTGAAGGAGCTGCTCACAGGTAACGCATACAGTTAGATCATCATGCAGCTCAGCAAGTGTCATTATTTTCCATTATCTGTTGTTGGAAACTTGGATAAACCCCCTATTTAGCCCAGAGTGGCATTATTTCACTACAAAATGTAATGGAAAGAAGACTTCTGAACATCCTAGTGTCCCTAGATGTTGGAACTAATCACTGTTTCTGTGCAGAAAACAGCCAGCTTTACTTAAGTTGAAAACAAATCAAAGCTTTTGTTAGTTACCATCAAGAGTAACGGGTCTTTTGTCTGGACTTGATGTTGGTTTGAGGAGTGGCCATATCTCAGTAGGCAGAGAAGGCCAACTTTGAACTACGGAGTGTTGGTGGGTTGGTTCCTGTGTCCCCCTGACAAAATGTTGAAGCATAAACCCCATTGTTGTGAAATTGCTTTGGATGGAAGCTTTTGACTAATGAATTTAATGTAAAAACTACTTTTGGATTTGTAGTCAAATTAAAACTATCTACATAGAAAGATGGCATGTAGTCGCAGGGAGTTTCCCACTTCGGACCCAGTTTGGAGCCTCCTTGGCCCCACATGGAGTCTCTCACTCAGATGGAAAGATCCAGACTGATGGGGAGATAGACGGTTTGTGTTACATAAGAGCTGAAAGACTGGAAATGTGACTCAGTGCTTCTGTGAGCGTCATACTGTAAGATGATTAAACACTCACTACTGAGTAATACTGTTATTATCAGCACCAGCACTGTTAGCATCCGTCAGATTGGACAGGTGATGACAGCTGTAATATGTAATATTTTTCACATGCTGTAATTCAACTTAGATTCAATTTTGATTTATGTCATATTTAATATAACTGATAATTGCACATGAATTAAAATATGTAGATTCTGTTTCAACAAATACGGCTATTGTAAGTATTTAGAGCCTAATCCTCTTAAAGATTGTCTGCTGTCACACCAGCAACAGGCAGTAATCCACAACAGTAACTTTTGGGACAGTAAGAAATCTGATCCTGGACTTTATTCCTGATTCAAAATGCACATTGTTGTTGCCTGACAAGACGTTACTGTGTCAGATTAGGTGGTTATAGTCTTACAAATTGTAGTTGTGACGTTACAGACTAAATGGTCACTTACAAGTCATAACTTGACATGACCTGTATGGTGCCACTCGGAAAAAGTTGTTGGGGGACAAACACCGGAAACAACTTTGCGTAAATGATACTGGATGTCTTGTGCTCTGACAAGCCTAAAAAAAAGAAAGAACAACTAGGACATCGTGGGTTATATGTCCTTGTTTTGTTTTGTTTTTTTGTCAGAGCATCATGAGGTGTTGTCGACTATGACACCAAACACAGTCTAAAACAATCAATTCTTGTCCCTTATGCCCACTTTTGGACTTAATGTTCTATGTCTTTCTATTACTTGGAGAGTCACTTCATTTTCATTCATATCGCAATTCAAATATTAGTGAGTGATTAGAAATGATCAGTGATTAAAATGTCTGTATTCCATCAGATAGCCATCCAGAATCAGTTTTACACATAGAACAACTGTCATATTTCAAATATTTTGTACATTTAAAAGACTTTACAATATCATTTTTTTTTTCAACATATACAAGAATCGGTGCAATATCGAAAGAATCTGCGCAATTTCAGTATTTTTAATATCTGTGTTTTCTTCTCATGTGTTTTTATTTTTGTAAACACAGAATAGCCCTGTGAAATATCATTGTTTTCTACATTCAGATAAATCTTTCATATACGAATTTCTACATATGGAAGAATCTGTAGAATATCAACAGTACTTCTGTATCTTTTGTTTATTTATTTTGTGACTGATGTCTCTACATTTGTGCATCAACCCCTTTGCTGCTGTAACACCGCAAATTTCCCAGCTGTGGAATTAATGAAGGCTCATCTCGCCTTGTCTTAACATGAAGGTAACACAGAACACAACGTTAGCAGCATGGCTCTGCAATGCTGGTCGGTCAGAATGTCACTTTTATCCAAACTGAAATGTCTCCACAGCTATTCAAAGGTTTGTCATTGAGTTTTGTCCAGGCATTCATTCATTCATTGTCCCCAGAGAAGGAATCCTATTGACTTCTCCTCTGGTGTTGTCATGAGGTTGTCTTTAATGAATCTGAGTAAAATGTCTCCCAGATGTTGCTAAAAATTTGCCTCAAGTGATAAATTATAATAGCTTTGGTGGAATTTTGTATAATGTCAAAACATTTATTTGCTGGAACCAGATATCTGCAAAACTAGTGACGCTGTCATTAGCCTTAGTTGTTTTTAGTGGTTTGTGCTATTTATCATATTGTATAGTTTGGCATCATTTTCAGAGAGCTGTCATGATGTTCATGTTTGCTGATGGTCTGGATCTGTTAAGATGTTTTTCCCCACAGTCAGTACTGTTTTTCTCCTGTGTGTAGCTCTTACTGGTGGTCATCTCTTCATACCTGTGCTCCTAGAAATGTATTTTACACTACAGTGCCTTTTATGATTTGGAATCATAGAAATAGCAACAGGATGAAAACCTCTGTTGATCTTTTTTCAAACATTGTCCTTTGAGACACGATCAGTCAGCGGCTCAGCCTTCCATAAGCGTCATACAGGGATATAAAACGCTCCGTGTCTCTGCAGGTGACTTCCGTTTGTGTGACGATACATCTCATCGTCAGCTAGTTCTTAGTCGGGAGAAGCACTGGCTGCTCAGATTAAAGTTTCATTGTTTTGTATTAGCCTGTTCAACAGTTTAATGAAGTGAGTCACAGTTACATCAGATAGGAGAGCTAATCTGCTAATCCACAGGAACAAAGACAGACAGATTACACACACACATACACACACACACACATTCAGCAGTGCTCAAGTAATGTTCTGTCAGCAATTGAACCCTGTTGTCTGCACGAGAGATTAGCTCAAATACTGTCTAACACGTATGTGCATCCGGTTCATTTTTAATTCACAAAAGTGCCCTTCAGAGGCTCTACACAGAACACCAAAAGTAGACGTGGACATGTGATAGTGCAACACATAATTTCAAAGCCATGCGAATAAATCTGCTTCTTTTACAGCCTCTGCTCTTCTGGTTTTAGACTTTCCATTATATTTCTAAATCTGACTGGAGGAATTTGCTTCCATTCAGCCACAAGTGCTTTACTCATGGTTCAACTCTGGTGTTGGAGTTCCAGTTCTTTCGCACCGCAATAAAAAACTTCTTATATTGAAAATTATATTGAAAATTTCATCTCAGCCTCAAGAAGAATTCAAATACATTATTCCTTTCATCCTGCAGTAGTCCAGATTTTTATTTCGTTTTTTTTATCAAATCTGTTGGGATGGTAGGTGAACTGAAGGGCGTCAAGCGATGCAGGAAGGCTGGCTGTGATGTGTGATTTGACGAGTCGTTCAAAACACTTCATCACAATCGGTGTCAGTGCGATGGGGCGATAGTTATTCAGACAGGCTACAACTGATTTCTTTGCCACTGGAACTATGGTGAATGTTTTGAAGCATCTGGGGACAATGGCTTGACTTGAGGGAGATGTTGAAAATGTCAGTCAGCACATCTGCCAGCTCGTCAGCACAGACTGTGAGCACACGTCCCGGGATGTTGTCCGGTCCTGTCGCTTTTCGTGGGTTGATCCTGGCTAGGGTCCTCCGTGTGTCTGCTGCGCTGATGGTGAAAGCTGGCCTGACAGATGAAGGAGCAGGACCAGCCTTCTCTATGATTGTCGGGTTAGATGCTTCAAAGCGTGCAAAGAAATTGTTAAGCCTCCTGCCTGGTCTTGTAGTCTGTTAGTGCCTGGACACCCTGCCACATCCGTCTGGTGTTTCCTGTGTCACAGAGGTGTTCCTGGGTTTTGAGAGCTCAGATCTGGCTGAGCGAAGAGCAGTCTTGTCTCCCACTCTGAAGGCTGCATCACGGGCCGTCAGCAGCGAGCGCACCTCTGTTGTCATCCAGGGTTTTTGATTTCTACGTGCAATGTGTGTAATGCACAAAGGCCACTCATATACAATTATCACCTGTCTCTGTCGTAGCCCTAAACTCTAAACAGCTTTATAGCTGTTTTTCCTAAAAATCTGTTGGATAGCAAAGTTTTCGGATTGTCAAGGGTCGGATTATCGAGTCACAGCTGTAGAAAGGTAGTGAATATTGGACGTAAATTCAGCAGGTGGATCCAAACATGGCCCCTAATAAATGTTAATTGCAGTTGTTGATAATTAGTGAAATAGATGGGTGTAAATAGGTTCCCTTTTACCAACAACACGCCTACGAATGTCAGTACAGAAAGCAAGTTAACTCATGATTTGCTAAAGCCATATTTAACTAGTTTTCAGATGAATTCAGGCAGCTTCCTCAGCCTCACAACCACTGGCCTTTTTAAATAAAGTTCTAAATGTTCCCAGATGCTAGTTTCCCAGGTGCACTGTAGTGGGTGGTGCCTAACACACAATAGAAATGTTTGAGTGCTGAATGTATGGATTTAACTCAAACGCACTTTACATTTTCAGCTCTTCTCTGTTCATCCAACAGAGACGTTACAAGCTATTGAGGAGGTCAGAGGTCGCTCATGCTACCTGTCACCATGGCATTGGTCTGACACGTTATCGCTGGTCACCTGTCTGTCCTCCGCCTGTCTGTCAGTCAAAACAGATTACCCACGAGGCCGTGCAACCAAAGTCACAACTTCTTCAAGTGTTTGTCTTTGGCCTCGCATGCATGAATGGCTCGCAGGTCGCGTGTCAGCTCGAGTGGTCACACTGCACATCAAACTGTGACGGCTTTTGTGACTTTACACGCCACGGCGGAGGAGTCTGTGTGTGTGTGAAAGGTAAACACAGTCGGTCGCTCTGCCGCTGCGCCGACATTAAGCCTATTTTCCAGCCAGAGGTCAGCATGAAAAGCGCATTGTTGTGTGAATCGTGGCGTCCCGCTGCCGCCGACACCACCGCTACTTCTTAACCTCCAGGTCCGAACATTCAGCTGCACAATGGTGAGCGAGG